TCTTCTATTGGACTTGAATCAGAAATATGAAAACCTAGTGGCCTTGATGGCCTATATGTCTTCAGATCTCAAAATGGGATAGAAGAAGAAAGGAGTGGAGGGAACCGTGGTTGATGTGAGGTCTGAAAGTGTAATGTCTACACCAGGGGCTAGTAATGATAACAGTATTGCTGGTGTTAGATGGGAGTTTAAGGGGAATACTAGGCTTCCAGAAATCGATTTTCCACTTTTTGGAGGAGAAGGACCTAGGGAATGGCTAAGGGAAGTTAGGAAATATTTTCAACACCATCAAACTCCTGATGAACTTAGATTAGGAGTTGCAGAGATTCATTTGGAAGGGAAAGCTTATATATGGTTTTATGGATTCATTGAGCAAACCATCCAGGGCGGATTGGTTATTCTCTGAGGAACTTTGCAGGAGATTTTTAGATACTATTGTGGAAGAAGTGATTGAATCAATTAGTAAGATATGGCAGGTAGGAACAATGGTAAAACATCAAGAGAGTGAGGAGTCTAATCCTGAAGAGGGACAATGAGGTGAAGAAGTCATGGAGATATCAATCAGTACCTTACCGGAAGTCCGAAGCACAAAACAATTAGAGTCCCTGGGATAATTAAGGGAAAGAAAGTATCTATACTCATTGATAGTGAGAGCACGCACAACTTTTTAGATGATAAACTAATTAGGAAACTGAATTATGCTATTGATGGAACCAATACTATGATAGTCACTGTAGATAATGGTGACAAATTGGAAAGCAAGGCTATATGCCAACCATTAGTGTGGAGGGTACATGATAGGGAATTTCAGTTCAATCTAAGGACCCTAAAATTTGGTGGCAGTGACATGGTGTTAAGAGTAAATTGGATGAGTCAATTTGGTCCAGTCACATTTGACTTCATACATTGTTATGTCCAATTCCAGAGCAATAACGAAGTAATTAAATTGAATAGTGAGATTTCTAGAAATCCAATCAAGTTAATGGATATAAGAGAGATAGAGAAAATGTATGGGAAAGAACGTTATAAGATAGTAGGACAATTGTACCAAATCAAGGAGGAACAAACTAAGGATATACCTGGCCAGAGTTTGAAAATCATTCAGCAACTGAGGATTCTTTGTAGACTGGAGTACAGGAAATTCATTTCAATATGTAGTTACATTGGAAGGCAAAACTTAGAAGGGATAACCTTGGATGACACAACTGAGATTTTAAGTATGAAAAAAGCCCTGTGGATATTTTTTGAGACTAACGTTTGGAGTAAATATGGAAAATACTTTTGTTATGAGATAGATTCATGCTAGTATTTTAACAGGGGTTCTGAGAAGACTCATCACTTTTTTTGTCACTTTTGTCGGCATGGAAGTTATCCGTTGAAGGTTACATATTTGAGCACAATCGGAACTTATCTACAAAGGGTATTAGGAGATGAAAATGTGTTGATTGTCAAATTTCCAGAAGAAGGCATGTGTGGCACTGACGAGGAAGGAATTCTTACTAATCTGAGATGTGTCCGAATTTTCGTAGTCAAAGATGAGTGCAAAAGGAAGAAGAAAAACCCAATGAATGTAGAGGAAAAAGGTACTGAATGTGCTCTAAAATGCTACTTCATTCGTTTTCAGTCTTTGCACCCTTGTAGTGAGGGTGAAGCTTATATTTTGTCTAGTAAAAGGATTATAAAGCTTCAAGTTGGACTTTCTTGGCTGCTGATGGAAAATACTGAAATGAAAGACTGAGTTCTTGTGCTAGAGGTTGATATTGGTAGCCTTTCAACTCCTATATATGAACCTGCATAATTTGCAGCAAAGTATTTCAACAGGAACATTATGAACAATGTGGCTGAGAGAAACCAAGAAGATGAGATGAATGAAGCATATGCTATCTTGCACTACTTACTTAATTCAAGGGTGGTGAAGAGAATGAGGCAACTAACTTCATACAAAGAAGACACCCAAACCTTGAACCTTGAGGACAAGGTAAATTTAAGGGGAAGGAATGTCATGGCTTGGGCAATTTACTTTTATTTATGTGTTTGGGCTTGTATTATTAGTGGGTTAGCCCAAATCCCTTTAATTTTAGAGTCATTTTGTTGCATATATGGTTGTATTAAAGCTTTGGAGAGGGGGATGAATTTTGGTGATTTTCATTTGACAGTGGATTAATTCCTCTTCGTCTCTCTCTCTCTTCTTCTGCGTTTTTCTCATTTTACCCCTCCCCATTCTATTTTATCTTCATTTGGTTATATTTCTAATTGAATTCAGCTGGGAAGTAGTTGATTGTTGGATTATGATTGTGGAAAAGCCATTATCCCAGCTTAGTCGCGATAGAATGTGAAAAGGATAAATAGCTCGAATTTGAATGGAACTTGATGAAGGATGGTTTTCCCGAGGAAGAAGATGTAGAAAGAAGAAGTGAAGGTGATGGGAACAAGAAAAGAAGCAATAAAATCTTAGGTTTTTTTTTGTCACGTGGTGGTGATGATGATGATGTTATAGAACCATGTTCGTTGGGGAGTGGGTCGTTGGTGACACGATAGTTCTTTCAGGTGGATGAGTCAAAAACTACCGTTACATTCGGCGGATGAGCAGCACCCAATTTTTGGAGAGCTCACTGGATGGGAATGATAATTCTGCCATCCAAACCTCCAACACTGTCGACGTCTTAGGGAAATATGCTGAAAGGTTTTGCAACCACTCAAGAAGAGTCGATGTGGGCCAAGGTCTCGAAGCTCTCGGCACCAGAGAGGGAGAGGGAAAAAGAAGAAGACATTTTTTCTTTTCTTTTTTGATTTTTTAAATTAATTGATTTGTACTTTTTTGAAAAAAATTGGAATTATGATTTGTAATTTTTGTTCTTTATTGTTTGTTTTATTTAAATGGAATGGTATATTTATTATTTTTTAATTTTTTAATTGAGAAATTGGATAAAAATTAATGAAAAGAACGTCTTCCATAATGAAATATAAAAATAGGGGTAAAAATTTGAAATGTAAAAACATTTCGCAAATTCAAGGCCAATTGTAAGGACGTTTTGTGCTAACAAGTTTTAAAACTTGTACATCATATTTTGTAAAGAGTTAAGTAATGAAAATATAATGCCTGCTTTGATATTTTTAATTAGGGGAACTTTGATCTATTTAGCTATTTATTATGGCAATTTTGTTAATATTTCTATTTTTTTTTTTGGCAGTTTGTTTTTTTTTTTTGTTGTTACGATAGGTAAAGTATTGTATGCAAAACATAACTACGTAAAATATAGTATGTATATTGTAAATAAATCTGAATGTAGAGTGTATTTTGTAATTTTTCGGAAGAGAAAAAAATAAAAGAATAAATTAAAATAGGTAAGTATCACAAAACGTCATTACTTTTCATTATTATTGTGCAAAACGTCTATACTTTTCATTTTTAACATTTTCACCCTTAATTGAACATTTGATTGCGTAAAACATCATTTCTTCCCCAATTCTCGCCTTATTTCTTTCTTTCTTTTTTTTTTTTTTCATCTTTCTTACCCATTTGAATCTGAATAATATTATTTATGATCATGATGATAAATCATTATTGGTGTGGCGATATATGTAAAATAATGAGATTTGACAATTCAATATATATGAAAAAAGGGAAGGAGAAAGAAAAAAAATGCGAAGGATAATGTGTTGTTACATGATCGAAAATTTATCATCATAATGATAAATAGAATTACTTTTAGAACTCATCGGATGAAAATGATATTTTGTTCAATCAAAATGGGATGGATGAACGAAGTAAAAAGTAGAGAGGTACTGTACTAATTACTCTAAATTTATAAATTATAAATAAATTACCCTTTGAATAAAAATACACAAATAAAGAGGACCTATCGCTATCATGCGACACTGTGGCGCTATCCCCTCTCTCTCCCTCCTATGTCAATTGGCTGCCATCGTTCTTATGCATACCATTTCTCTCTCTAAAACCAGAAATTCTGATTACCCTTTTTGTACCTTTTTTCTGTGTAAGCTAAATAATGCACTCTACCATTTAGAGGTTTACACTCAGAAACTTTTGTGGGCAGATGCCGGATCGGTGAATTGTTGTTGCGGCTCGCTTTCAGATCTGTATGTCTCTTTCTATTATATGTATTATATATATCTATATGCCAACATTTACTATGTTTTCATGCTTGTGTTTTGTATGAGTAAAAATTTCCTATTCACAAGATCTTTGATGAGTTGAATTTGAGTTAAAGCGTTTATTATTGAAGAATTTTGTAGCTTCGAGTGTTTTTGGCTGAAAGGATTTTCGAAATCCATTTTTATTGGCAAATAGTATTTGACAAGATAAAGTTTGAACTTTTTCCTTGAATGTTTATTTTATGGATCTTAAATGATGCTTAGTTAACTTAACATTGAAATGGTTTTGTTACAAACGGAAATTATATATGAATTGTTGCAAGGCTTATAAAATGGAATAATAGCGTGTTAATAATTTGTATGAAGCAAACTTAAAAATAATAAAAAACCAATTTAGAGAAACCCAACTCTTTCTGATAATTATGTAAAACATCCCGTGTTCATTTATATTCCCGTTTCTATGATTTCATCTGTGATCAATCATAGTTCAGTAAATCTTGAATCATTGACGGTGCCAAGCGG